TTTTTTTTTTTCCACGCCTAATAAAATGATACCAATGAAGTGAACTAAAAATATAAACCTTTCAACCTTTCTTGAGCAGACTGACAACTACATTTGTTACCTGCAACACATAAAGATTTCTGCCTGTATTTGCCATATATATATTAAAAAAAAATACCAATTAAAATTACACAGAAAAATTTTTAAACATACGGAATTAATTGTAAGGCTCTATAACATATTGAAAAATATATCTCTTCCTTATGGAAAGGGGGGAAATATATGATTATATATTATAATTACACACAGAATAACGTTTCGCTATAGATGAAGAATAATTCACGACTTCTTTTGGAAATTCCAGTTATTAAAATTAATTTTAAATATCTACATTCTACTCCCGATTACTATGTAATAATTATTTATTTATTTATTTTTAAAAAATCTATTTATATTTGTTTTAAGAACATTTTAAACAAAATTTATGATGAGGTCTATCAGTGCATTTAAAATTTGCACTCATGAGAGGACCAGTGAAGTCCTTATATATATATTTACCACATATTTTCAAAAATTAATTTAAAAAGGCAGCGCGAAACATATCCATAAGTAGATATTTATCAGAAACAAGAAATTAATACATAAATTTGCTTTTTCAACCAAAACACATTATTAATATAGAGCTAAAATTCATTTGGATATATGTTAGCAAAACTTGCCAGATAAATTACTGTCAATACTGAATTCCCGTTTGTTTATATCCAAAAATATGCATGGAATATAAGCACATTCTAAAATTATCGAAATTCTACTGTGTGCGTGAATGTGTGTCTATATACTCTTTCTGTTTATATATGTGCATACATACATACATACATACATACACACACAATGTAACTACTTAGCTAAGCTATTACCAACCTCACACCTCTGGCGACCAACTTCTGCACATAAAAGGGTCATGAGAGCATGATATATTTTGTTAGCTAGTATTTAGAAATATATCCCGTGACGATTATGCGCGCATATTAATGTGCATGTTCCACTATTTTCTCAACCACTTCGCTTAACACCTCACCACAATTTTTACTACAGCAGAAAGAAGAGAAATTAAAATACTGGCACCGGAAATCATTATTTACGGACAACTGTTAATTTATTAAAGACAATTTCGTGGTTTTCCCTATGTGTAACCTATATGCGAGCCAGTTTCCCTTTGAAAGTCCTCCACGAAGGCATCCCTCCCCTTAGGCAGATAGCCCGCGAGGCTTTGCCACAATCACACACACATACACACTATTAAAGACAAAAATATAACGTTTAATAACAGTGTAAACCGTTATTAATAATGATATATCAGTTTTTAATAACATGCTGGCGCCTTTTTCAGAAATAACAAGATTCCTAGTAAAATGTCGCTAGTTTGGATGGCGGTTTCATTTTCGTTTATAAATATTGATACTATAGTTACTTATATTTTTTTATATGCCCTTCGCAGAAAAATAATACAGGGTATTAAAAAAGCACATGTTTACTTCTTAAAAAATTTCTAAGAAAGAATAGAAAAATCTATTATGCACTAAATAGGGAAAAGCCTATTGTATCACACATTATATCTGTGCATTTCTCGTAAATCAGAATAAGCAAAGTGATAAATAATTTGATGCCCCACAGGATAGCTGAGCAAAAATTAATGCACTGCTGAAACAGTTCGCTGCCAGACTTCTTTTAATGTGATCAGCAAGGGGAACTTAGTACAAAACATTTGGTTAATCTTGTCTAGACCAAAGAAAATATCGGGACCACCAACTCTACTATTTCCTTACGATTCACAAGCAAATTACCGCAAGGAGGAAATCAGAATTAACATTAATATAAGTTTTGAATACATTTTTCTTTTAATAGGATTGCTTGTTCTACCTGTATCTCATGTCTTACCTCTTTGAAGCGATGTAATTACTCAATTGTATATATTGTAAAAAGCTAATTGTCTTCAGACTTATACTGTTACTATACTGTTACTAAAAAAATGGGCCTATTTCATGACTTTAGTCTGTCTAATAGCTCTTGGACAGTGAAAATTCCTTTTTCCTTTCTTAAACATTACGACACAACAATTAGCCAGAAATTAATTAATTTCCATTCACTAGTATTTTTAAAAAAAAAAAAAAAAAAAACTTAACAGACAGTCTCACTCAAATAAGAACTCCACATAATACATCCCTCAAGAATTCCAAGTCCCACCCACTACCATAAATTACTTCACCCAAGTCTTACCGACTGATATTATTCAAAGCCCCCACTGCCGCTAAGAATTTTCGGAACCTACACTTATGAGTCACCTACACTTATGAGTCAGACACGAAGAGAACACTTTGCCAACTCCCCCCTAAGAAAGAATGTAAGTTACTTAATACTTTTTCCGGCCTTTATATCTTCATGTACATTCACTGTTCTTATTATATATTATTTTTATATTGTCTTTGATTTGTTTTTACAAAGTTTGCATTATTTATCTTATTTTGTAATCTTCTATGTTTGTTTCAACTTTACTTTGAATTAGATTTCATAATGACAATTTCCAATGTTTAATTTTTACAAATAATATAGAACTCAAATGCATAAACATGAAAGTGTTGGGGACGGTTACTCGGGTTAATTAGGATTTCTCTACAGTAATTGCTTTTTACTCCAAACTGAATTGAATAAAATGCTTCATAAGAATAAGTTCTTTGAGTATCAGCATTGGATCATAATCCCTTCTATTCGCGGAAATATTTGGCCTGACTAGAATTGCCGGTTTGGCTTTAACTTATAACTCGAGTAAAGACGAAACACTTTCGTATTTACGTATTTTTATCACTAATTGTTCATTGAACGGGAGTTGGTTTGTTCCCCTTGAAAAGTCAACTAATTTCCGATCAATGACAATGATTACATGTTTTTAATTTTTCCTTTTACAATTGAAATTTTATTCTTCGTGATGATGATTTAACTCCAGTCCCCGTTAAAACATTATTAACATTTTTCTTTCAAATTACTTCAAAACATCTTTCAAAATATAACTTACCAGTATGGATTCACTCTTTTAAAATAATTCTACTTTAATTAAACTTAGGAGATAATATAATCAATTAATCAATACTGTTTAGGAAATAGATTATATATATATATGATTCTGGTTTAATATTCTTTTCGATCTGCAGCAAAGCTTGCTATTGAGTGAATACAGTATCTCTAGATATAGCCATGTTGTATTCTATTGGTTCAGATTTAATAATACTTAACTGAGACAAGTACAATACATTTATTAAATTGAAACTCACATTTCTGTTTCCTAAAGAAAGAAATCTTGGGTAGCTCTGACTAAAATTTAGCTCTTTATTTTTTTAAATAATGCTTGTTTTCCGGTTTGAAACCTTAATGCCAATATTTTCATATTAAAAATGGCGTTTAACTACCATTTAATGAAATATTCTCAGTTACTTAACTTTTAGGAATAATCATAATTTAACCGAAGTAAAAACTGTGAGGCTAAATAAAAAAAAAATTGTTATGAAGTTTTACAGTTCCAAACAATGAAATGCTTGACACAATATACATACATGTGTATGTGTATGTATGTATGTATGTCATCCATAATAATCACTGCTTATGGGAACAAAATATGCTATGTAAAAAACTGGCAAAACTATATTCATTTTTATTATGGACAGAGAAGAAACTGGTAATTTAAACCGAATCATAACATCAAAGAAAAGAATAAAGGCAATTAACTTTGCACACAACCATGATAAGAGTCCCTTATTTACAAAATAAACTTTATAAGAACTCGAAAAGATATGCAGTCAAACCCATTTAAACAAAATTAACAGGACGGTAGCAAAAATTTATTATATCAATAAATTCTTTGAAAAAATGTAAATTTATTACATCAATAAATTCTTTGAAAAACATGTATCTCAAATTATCCGAATATCAAGTAAATCTCTTTTTTGCTATGTATATGCTACGTAAAATGCTCAAAGTATTTAATATTTTTATTTACTCTCCTTTGCAAATGCAAACATTTAAGATATTAGAAATACCTTAAATTTATGAAGACTGGGACGTCGTTCCACTGCAGAAGTTACAGAGTTTGTTTCAGGAAGGTCTTTGATACTTTCAAAGTCAAAAGCTTTCAATGACAGACAACTATGGCACCCATTATTTGGCATCATAAGAAATAGTGTTTAACACACAAATGTGTTAACAATACACAAAGGTGCTCCTTTTGAGAAAAAGATACCCAAAACTATGTTCTTATCTTTTATAACAAGCAATGGGTATGGAAGAGAGTAACGAAGAACATGAAAGCTATTATTCATGTTCTACAAAAAAGTAAAAAATGTTTTCATAAATTTAATTAAATGAAATAAAGAGCCAATAAAATCCTTATTCAATCACTAGCTTGAAAAACACGAAACCAGTAGAGGTTATTTGTGCTAGATATAAAATCAATCCCATCAAATACATCTATCGATATAAAGAATATAAAAAGTTAAATAATTAAAAGTTAAAAACCGAAAGTAGTTGTTGCAAGGTGTGTTTAATACAGAAAATATTTTGCGCGAAAATACGAGATGAGAAAGAAACAAATGAACACAAGCAGATCATATGTGAATCTCAAAAACATAAAAGAAGAAGCATTAAAGCGCCTATAGCAAATATGCGATTTTAATAATTATTTTCATAACATCTTCGAATTAAATGAGCAACCAGATGTCACGTTAAAAGGAAAACTTTAATTTATTTTTGAAATACTCTAAAAATGAAAACCTTCAGAATACTGTCCCCCGCCCGAATCAAAATCAGTATGAAAGAAGTAAAATTAAACCTAATCAGAACTCCAGTTACAAAAGCCTTAAATTTAAGCGAATTAAATTAAAATAAAAATCTAAAATTAATTAATAAATAAAAATCTAACTTCATTAAGTACGCAAGACTCATGCATAAACATAAATATAGAAAACACCACTTACCAGTTACGGTTATAAGATCCGTTCAAAACAATCTAACTATCCTTATGAACATATTCTGGTAATACTTGATGTTCTGTTAAACGGATACAACTGCTTCAAGATACACACTGATCTTCCAAGAAACAACTTTTGAAAAGACCACATATTTGATTCGGCTGCTATTTTTGATCTGCCAACCAATCACAATTTTTAAACGATACTGTTATGTCCTTAATAGTTCTGCATCGTAAGATTTGATGTATTTGTTATTGAAGAAGTTGATCAGAAACTTGAAGCAGCAAAAATCCTCAGAAGTCGCTGACCTTCCAGACGATTTATTGGCGCGACCAGACACTGATGCAATGTGTGCGTAGACCAATGGCTTGCCCACGGATTGTTTGATTTATGAGAAATCCGGATAAGAGGTGTCTGGAGTCCTAGAAATATCAGGCTATTTACTTCAAATGTTCTTTTAAATATCTGAAAGAATAATACAATAAATGTTAAAACATTACTTTTAAGAAATATAGCCAATAAAAAAATGGTGTACAACAGAAAGTTAAAAAAAAAAAAAATCCATTGTGCAATATATTTTCTAAATTAAATATTATTCTTCATAAAATTGGGATATTATGGAAATTAATTTGACATAAATGAATGACCACTGAGGTTTTTTAAAAAGCAATTGCAAATTTAACAGTATAGCATTAACGAAAATTCATCAGTGAATTCATTCTATAATGAATTTCTTAATATAAGCATTAAACTTAACACATGCAAATTTAACTAACACATTCAACATCAAGCTTCACACAACTCACAAGTTTTCATAAAATATTGTGAGTTATGAAAACTTATGTTATGAAATGTATTAAAAGGAATTCCGTGAGTTACGACAATGTATCCGATTATTATTTTCATGATCATTATACATTAAAATCTGAGTGTAGTAAGAATTAGTATCACGATTTCTGCTATTTCCATGGGTTATGTAGTAAAACTCAACATTTGTAGGTATCTTATGCTGGCGCCTTAATTTCGAATCCATGATTAATTAATTATTTGGATTGTGAAGTACGGTTCAGCAATAAAAGTTAGCACTGTTATCATTAAGAATGTAATTCGTTTAACAAATTTTATGGTAAAATGGTATTTAAATTCAATTTTTTTATAAAAACATATTGGAGATGTGCTTAAATTTTTGAAATAAAACTCGTTTTTTAAAATCATCTTTCTATTGCAAATTTCCATCACTATTTTTTGCGGTTTTTACTTCATATTAACATGAGCACCAACATTTGTTTGTATACTCGAAATTCTACATAAAAGCATCAAATATTCTTGAATACAAAGCACGAATTGGAAATCTTATATTTTATATATATATGCAATTAACAATTATTTTTAAAAAAAAGAAAACGTAAAAAATAGTCTTTCATTTAAAAATTATTTTCAGCTTTCAAAACACTAACTTGAAAGTTAAAAATGATCTTTGATCCATTTAGTATTTCCAAAAAATATTAAAATATTTTCGATTCGCGACAGATTTTTGTTTATGATAAACCAAAGATTATAAAAACGCGTCTTTGCTAATCGACGATGCACAATAGCTTTTATTTATTTTCGCACATAAACATACATCACTTATCATAACAAGAGAGCGAATAACTTTAGAAGTTAGCATACGTGCACTTTCTAATTAGCACTCTCAATATCAACCAAACTTTCAATAAAAAATATCAAAAGTACTTTCAATAAAAAATATCAAAAGTACTTTCAATAAAAAATATCCTACACCCCAGGGGTTCTCAACAGGGTGGGGGTAATGCAGTCAGCCTTTTATTTACCTGTTACGTATTTAGTTTTAGATTATGATAGATATATAATATATATATATATATATATATATATATATATATATATATATATATATATATATATATATATATATATATATATATATAATAAAAAAAACTACTTTTATTCAAGTTCTTTTACCAACCTTTTCTACGTTTTTTTTTTTTTTTTTTTTTTTGTTTAATTTATAAAATACATTAAAAAAGAACCTAAATTTGCATAATATGTATATATATATTCCTCCCCCTGAGTTTTTCGAAGAAAAAGGAGCAGTGATTGTCCAACAATGGTGAAAACAGGGCATGGGGAGACTGCTCAAGAACCTCTGTATGCAATACATGTGATAAATAAAACATATTTCTAAAACTACCTAATAAATAAAACACTGTATAAAGTAGTTTTAGAGATATAAAATGTATAGTTCTAATACTATCTTATACATAAAATACGTATCTAATACTACATTGAATGCAAAATTCCTAATTCTAGTTCGTCATGTTGTCATCTAATTCAAAACATAAATCAAATACTGATAATGAAATTTTATAATTAATATAAAGAATGAAATCTCTCTATCCATTTCTTTAATCAAAAGATAATATTCATTTTTAATAATTAAGTATTTTTGTGTTTACATATTTTATATTCAAAGAAAGATCTTAAAAAGGTTAAATAAAACACCCGTAGTTTTAAAAATTATATTACTTCTGAGCTAAATTTTAATTTTACTCAACTGTAAAGATTTATTTTTACGAGCTAGCTACAACAGATATTATTATTATTTAAGAAAGAAAGCGAAACACTTGCATACTTTTTTTAAGTGTCAAACTGTAATTCGAGGTTTTCAGACTACAAGATTCTATTTGCGCGAAAAATTATTTCAAAGCTAAAACTTTGTTAATTTTTTATTATCTTGTGAAATAATTTCAGTCATTAATTACCGTTTATTCAATAATGAATAAGTGTTAATGTAATACTTCTGAAGAAATGTGTCCAAAATTACATAAAGTGAAACAAACAAATTTTTAAAAAAAATATAAAAGCATTTAGATTTCATATCGCGCCCAAAGGGGATTCCCCCCCCCCATTTACACGCAGACGTACGTTTTTCCGTACACTGTCGTGCTGTTGCTCGCTTTGAAATCATTGAGTTTGCTAATAAAAAATTCATTAAAAGTTTTACAAAATATGAAACAGACAATAAAACAAATTCTAAATTTGGGCTTCCAGGCGCACATATTCGGGTGGAGGACTAAATTATTCAAAATTTGATGGCTCTAGGCTCCGTTGTTTTTTCTCTAATGCGAGAAACATGCATACATTCATGCAGATTCTTTATTATTTAATTTCTTTAAATATAAACCAGGGCGATAATATTTGGTGGCAACAGTTTGAAAAGTGAAATGGACATTTATAGTCCATTTCACTTATAGAATATATAGTAGGAGATAAACTTATAGAATATATAGATTTATAGAGGAAGCAAAATGCCATTTCGAGATCAATAGGCCTTCGAGATTAAAAGGCCTCTAGACTAACGCCTCTTTGGGCTAATAAAATATTTTTCTCGAATAACTTCTTCAATAAAAGTTATTTCAGCAAATGAATGTCTAATTACAGTCGACTTCCGATTAACGAGGGCTTTGCCTTAAAAATACCTAAGTTTGTTAATTGCGGAGCGATAGAAAAATTCGGGATAGTAAATCTCGAATCCTCAGAACAAAGCAAAATTTCTATGTTAAACAGAAAAAGAAGAAAATTACAGGGAGAATTTTAAAGTCAGATATTTTTTGACTGAAAGATGATGTTCAAAATTTGTCTATAGTAATTCCTAGGACACTAATTTGAATAGATTTAAGAATTTTGGCAGCGAAAGACAACAATAGCATTCATGTCATATGCAAAATTACGAATATGAGTAGTGTATAAACTGATAAAAAAGTTGAAGCTGAATCAGAACAGTAAGTGGCAATGCATTGCACGTGGAGGGTGGAGAAGGGCATACACACGACTGAAATTATGGACAGTGTCTCACAAAAATTATTGATCACTTTTGATAACGCCAAAAAATTTAAATGCATAAAACATGCTTTTCTTTCGAACATCCCATCCATTATCTAGTCTTCTTTTATGCTAAGTATTTTTATCAAAATTTAAAAAATAACATCTTTTCATAAATTCTTTAATGAAATGTCTTAAAAAAAAAAAAAAAAAAAAAAAAAAAAAAAAAAAAAAAAACCATTTGAAATCCATAAATTCTTTTTAGAATCTGTGTTCTTTCAATGTATAATTATCATGGCTTCCTCACGCATACATGATTAGAAAGAAAAAGAAAAGTTGCTCTCCGAAAATTTGCTGAAGTGGATAATTAGAAATATTTAAGAGTTTCTGATGTCATGAAACGTCAACTCCTTGTGATACAATTCACAAAAAGAAGACGTGGGAGAATATCAAAGCTGTTATTCTCTACTATTTCGATACTTACGTACTATCGCAAACACATCAGCAAAAATCCCCAAATCTTCAGAATACATTTAACTCTATCAACCACGTGCATAACAATTACTCAGGCGACCAGGCACATGACAAATATTCAGTTTCCAACATCGCCATTTTCGTACGCGTTCTTTTTTTACTGTGTTACGCCTTTTATAGAAAAATTTAGATTATTTTTTGTCTTAAACTCGATTTTAAAACTTGTAGGATTTTCCTATAGCAGAAGAAAGAGAGGGGGAAATTTCTGCAGGAATACATTATTTTGTCGCTAAAGGAACAATGCTTCGAATTCTTCTTCAAAGCGAAAGCTACGAGATTTTCACCACGACAAAAACAAAACTCGTTTGCAACTAGGTTTACTGACTGTCTTTTGAAATAAATATATTAGAATATGTACGTAATAGTATATATGTATGTAATATATAATTTTTTACAATAAAAGTTATTGTTCTTTTTCATCCATGAAATTCGCCACACTGCGCCAAGGTGATTTACGTACCACTATTTCAATATTTGTTTTAATCTTGCATTTAAATAGATAGTATGCAAGATTTTCGAAACTGTAAAAAATAATCAAAGACCGCTTTATCTTTTAAATTTGCACCAGGACTTTATTAACTACATGGAGTATTTGTTATTCTACAAAAAGTTGAAACAGCAATACAATCTGCTCAAAAAGTAAAATGGCCAGGTGGCAAAAGGAGGGGGAATAAGCCATTGTGGAGAACTCCTTATTACGTTTTTCTCAAAATTAAAAAAATAAGAATTCTAAATACTGGAATCAGATTATATTTACAGATGGAAGCTCAAATATAACAGTTTGGGTTAAGATAATACAGAATTTTGTCTGTGAGAAGATCCAAATAAGAATTTCAATAGCTGAACTCAATTCCGGACGACTAATGACGGACGTGCATGTAACTTGCTGAAATTGTTCAATCACATATTAAATCAATGGAATGGGTTAGGAAAAAAATAAATAAAATGGAAGTAAGATGGAGTCGCCCTAAACAAGTTTCTCCGTACCCTGCTCTGAAGCACCGGCGATCCCTACGTGGTGACCAACCAAAACATTGGGGTCATTTACCATTGCGTTCTATGGGATTTGACGCGTTCGGGTGTAAATA